ATTAAAAATAATAAAAGCGTATTTGAAAATACTGCAGCCGAATTTGTAGTTTTCTCTTATGTTAGTGTGGAGACGCGGTGGCCTCATGGTTAGTGCGCTCGTCTCCGGATCGAGCGGTCCGGGTTCGAGCCCTGGCCGGGGACATTGTGTTGTGTTCTTGGGCAAGCCACTTACCTCTCACAGTGCCGCTCTTCACCTAGGTGTGCTAATCAGGGTACCGGCGAACTTAATGCTGGGTTAACCTGGCGATGGACTAGCATCCCATCCAGGGGGGAGTAGAAATACTCCCAGCCGCTTCATGCTACGGAAACCGGGATAAGCACCGGCCTGATGGGCCACTCGGCTCGTATACAGACTTTACCTTACTTTACCCTCGTAGAATGCTAAAAATTTTTTCTGTACAGTTGGGAACCAAGAAACCGGGCGGCGAGAATGCCTGAAAAGCACTATCCACTGGTTTGCTATATACTTGAGGAGACTGGCAACAATTTTGACAATTGAATACTTCTACTAGTAATACTTATGTCTTTTTTTGGTCAGGTAAATGCTATTTTTATCAGAGAAAAGTCAGGGAATTTTGAAAAGTGATGTCTGGCAACTGTGCCTTTGCTTATTCTTTCAAAACACAGACAACTGGATGAAATATCGATTGTATGAAACGGAGAAAATTAAAATGGTTTTTAAGCCAACTTGTGATATTTGAATCTGGTCAAACAGATTTTGAGAAGTTTGTATTATAACGTTACAGCACACATTTTACAACAGTCATTAATTTATAAATAATCATTAGGCTTATTCAGGCCATGGGTTTTTAAAAGTACGCATTTTCGTCTGAACGAAAACGAAACAAAATATTTTCGCCCATCCTAGCGTTTTGGGTTTGTTTTCACCTGTCCACATTGATGCGTTTTCGTATGAATCAGAGGATTGAAATTACTCACATGAGAGCGGGTCCCAAACTGAACAAAATGGCAAATGGCTAAAAGGTTTTATTTAGAACTGCAAACCATGCGCGTTGTGAGATGACTTTTACGAGTACGCGCCAAACGATTACTGACCTCAGGGTTAGTGAAAAGTGAAAAAGTAAAACACACGTCCAGCATCTAAGAATTTTACGCTCATTACAAAAAATTTTGACTAGATGATAATTTTAAGGCGAGGAGAGTAGGGATGGTTTCTCTTTTTTCCGTTTCTTCGAAAATGAAAAGGCCGAGAACTGTTACTCAACGCGGGAAACCGGAGTCTCTC